TGTGATGGGGTGGCTCGAGGGTGGACCGATGAAGGTTAAGAGAGGATGTGTCTCACAGTGCGTATGATGATGTCCTCGCGTCGCAAATCGCAAAATGGCAAGTGAGCGGCAGCCAAAACAGGCGATCCCCTTCTCGCTCGCTCTTCCAAGCTCAGCGCGACTCGACCTCGGGACTCAGGACTCGGGATGCGCCGAAACCAACAATACACCGAGGGCGACAGGAGCACCTACGTCCACGGCCACGTCCACGAGGGCGAAGTCCGGGCAATGTATGTCGCGCGCGCGCGCGCAAGTCGTGTCGTCTGCCGTCTGCGTGAGGTTGCACAGCCAATGTGATGCGAAACTCGGACTCAATGTCTAGTTTCACCCGGGTTGCGATGGGCCAAGGCTGGTAGATGAGCTTGAGTGAGAGCGAGAGTGAGAGTGAGAGAGGGCGCCGAGTCGAGTCGGTGAAAATGGTCGCGTCGGTTGTTGGGGGTTGTGGGGGTGTTGTGTTGGAGGCAGGAGTTACAAGTTTGGAGAAGTAAAAGTCCCCAAAATTGTGGAAACGGTCGAAATAGACGCGAAGTGGGAAGGAGTGTGGGTGGTGTGCGAGTGAGAGAGAGAGAGAGAGACGGGAGAGAGCAAACGAAAGACGTGGGAACAAAAGCGAGGGAAGAAAGTGACGGGGGGGAGGATGGATGGATGCAAGTGGGTTATGAGATAGCCCCAGGGTTATTAATTGATGGGCAAATTCCCAAGGGAGACAAGGTGACTGGATACGGAGTCTCCGTCTCTCCGTTGATTGACTGGTTTGATGCTGGATGAGTCTTGTCACGCGAGAGGAAAGGGGGGCGGCGGCGGCGGCGACGCACTGGCACTGGGCGGCGCTGGGATAACTTCCAATCTGGCAGTCTCGAGCACGCCAACGGTCAAGGGACTTGCCCTCTTGCCCTACCGCAGCATGACGGGATGATTCACTTTCAACCATTGTCCTTTTCTCTCTCCTCTCCCTCTCTCCCTCTGCCTTTAGCCAAGCAAGCACCAGGCACCAGACACGAGCAAATAAGCGACGAGGCTCGCTCCTATTGGGAGGCCTTGTCCAACGGCCTCGAGCAGACAGCGAGAATAAATGACCGCTATATTTCGTACCTCCTATGTGCTCCTCTCTTCTCAATCATTTGCTCTCTGGCGGCACTTCACCCGTCACCTGCCTCGGCCGCTGCAGCATCACATTGATGAGGGGCCCTCGCGCCACTCGTCGAACGTCGACGGGAACTCGTTGAGCAAAGGCGTAATATCATCCGGGAATTGGGAATTGGGTCAGCGAAACCCCAATCCGGTCCGTCCGACGGCGTTATCTTGGTTGTTTCGCGGCAGTTGGTGGGATGCGACAAGACCCTTTTTTTTTCGGTCCAGGTTCCAAATCTTGGAAATCTTGGATGGAATCTGTTCCTGTTCCCTCGACCCAACTTCAAAGTGCCCACCTCGGACGCCACGCCTCTTTACGACCCATCCTTCTGGAACGTGATGGACTTTACAACACGACACCCACTCGACTCGATGCAGCAATGTTCTTCTTACCAACCGGAACCATGTTTTGAAGCAGCCCCCCCTTTTCCCATCTGAAACAGACCATTTGTTGCATCAACGTGATGCAACTGATGCAAGTTGCAACTGATGCGAGCAGAGGGAACAGAGGGAAATGTGGATGCAACCCGGCCGGCGACGATCAATCGGGCACAACACACGCACATGGACCCAACAGCAGGCTGGCGTTGCCGTCAGCACCCGATCTGAGAGGGATGGGGGGATGGCTGGCTACCTTTGGAAGTTTGCTTGCAATTAAAACCAGAGCAAGCAACCTGGAAGCAAGCAACGCTGCTGCTGGTCGTTCACCACAGCCACGAGGACAATGTCTCTTCTCTCGATTTATTGTCCCCCTTTCAGCTCGTCCAATCCCGAGGACTCATGTCCACAGATATCACCGTGTGCGCCATACGGCAGGTCGGTTTGGACGGTTGGACAGGACAGAGCTTGTTCGAGGATACCAACATGGACGGCAAACGGAGCACGGGGCCGTCCTCGCCGAGGACATCTTGTCCTGAGTGGTCAAAGACGAGGGCACTAACTCGCCAAACCACAAACAACCCTCCCTGACAGAAACCCAGCCTAAATTGCAAAAAAGAATCCAACGACCAGAGGATAACACGTCAGGCAGACTGAGCCTGCGTGGTGCAACGCCATCAAGATTGTCATTAGCGCGCCCGCGAAAAAAAAGGATCAACAGCAAAATGTGACACTGGAAAATGCCGCATGGTGATGAGAGTGTATCATTCATGTCGGGTATGTATGTAATGTATGGATTTGACTCTAGTTCTGACCAGGACCGTCTTGCCAGGTGTCTGGCTTCTGATAAGTCATGACTGGTTGTCTCTGGCGAGAGAGCCTCTCGAAGCCCCCCAGACAGAAGCGTGTCTAGGCTGCAGATCATGGGGAGATAATGGCTAGCTTGGGTGACTTGGAGCAGCCACTAGCCATCATGTGATTGAGCCCATGCATGCGCAGACGTGCTGGTCCAGTAGACACACCGCTCAGCATTCACCGCTAAAGCATGAGGAGGGCTATGGGCGGAAAATAGATGGCGGTCCGGTGCGGCCAAACTGCGCCTCAGCAGTTGTGGTGTTTGTTTGCCAACTGGGAGTTCTGTTGGGAGGCTGGCAGTTCTGTCCTGAGCCACTGTCTCATAGAGATTGGAGGTGGCCGGCCGAGATTTTGATTGCTGACTGCGAATCACGGATGACAAGGCCGTAAGACGCCCGTTGTTGGTTGAACGTGTTCCTCGGTTGGACGGCAGACGGCGTAATACCCTAGCCATGGCAGACAACTCGTTTACGCCGTGCAACGACAAGCGTGCAAAAAAAGTTCCCAGTGCCGGTGCGACGTGTGACGGGAGACTCATCGCGAAGTGCTGCCGTCGACAAGTTGCCGTGTCGGTGGCCAGGACGTGGTGGCAGATGATGCCCAGAGTCAAAGCCCTCGCTGTCATGCATCCCAAAATGTCGATAATCGTATACGTCGCTGGTCTCTCATGACCTACCTCCCCCTCCTACCCCGGCCCCTTCCGCCTCGGCCCCCTCTGCCGCCCCGTCCGTTCCCTCTCCCCCTTCCGCCCCCTTTCCCTCCACGTGGCGCGCCCCTGGAGTCGAAGCGCTCATACAGCACCTCTTCGCCAAATGCGGCCTCGGCGAAGCGCATATAGTTGATGACGCCGTGGTCCACCACTGCAACGAGGACGTGCCTATGGCCGTGCTTGAGTCTTGCATACAGCCGTCCGGGGCCTTTCCACTCAGGGTTCGCCGGGTTGTAGGGCATGGCATCCACCAGAGCGGTGACCTGCTCAAAGGTTGGCACGTCCGAATCTTGTGCGTCGACAACGGCCAGCCGGAAATCGGGAGCTGGGTGTCGAAGTTTGGACCACTTTTGCGCCGCCTTCCACACGTAGTAGTGGATGGCAAAGGGCTGCTCCATCTCAAATGGGCTCGAGGGCTCCGGTGATGGCTTGTGACGCGGGATGATGGCCATCTTTTGATAGATGGGGATGTATGACCTGTACAGGCCAGGTTGGACGAGCGGACCGTAGGGTTGGGGCTTGTGCTGAAGAGAGAGCAGAGACGAAAGCCACTGCCACAGTGATGTTGGCGGATGGGGTTGGGTTATTGTGAGTTGTTTGTCCGTTGGAGGTGCCCGCAACACGTTGTAGCCCGCGCGCTTGAGGTTGGAAAAGACCTGGAATTTTTGAAGGCTGATCTTTCCCCGGTCACCGTCGTTGCCAATCAACAGTGAATATGCAGCCTGGAGACTGAGTGGAAATCCGTTCTTGTACTCGTCCATCTCGTCGTCCTCGCCGGGAGTTTTGGCGTCCGGTGCCACAGACTCACTTGCCTCCTCCCCCTCCTTCGGTGGTACCGTGGCTGCTGGAAACAGCTCTTCCATGCTGCGGGTAGGCCACCACAAGTCCAGCGATCCGCGCTCAACCAGGTAGAGAGCCTCCTCGGGGAGAAGCCAGTCTAGGCCTCGGGCCGGCTTGACCTTTGGTTGGCCCGTCACTGCCCTCCCGAGATTCATGCTTGCGATGGACGAACCCTCGAGGAGAACAACCCGGTCGCGAACATGCGCATAGGGCTTCTTCTCGCCATCCTTGACCACTTCTTGTTCTTCTTCCGTCCAATCGGCCCACCAGTCCGGAAAATACCATGCCCGAACCCAATTCTGTTTGCTGTGCACCCTGGTATAGCTCAGCACCTCGGTCATAGCCTGGCGACTTTGCTCGAGCGCATTTTCTTGGGCGCGAGTGCCATGTGACTCAAAGTCCTTTTCGCCCTTGCGGATGGTTTGCGCAGAGATGTGGGCGTTTTTGGTAAACAGTCGAAAGTCCTGTGTCTCGTCCTCGAGGACTTCATCCGCCGTGAGTGCTTCTTCCCCATCCGCCGAGGGACCCGGCACCAGCGAAGCGGTGGGGATGTCGTCGTCGTCGAGAGACATGGGGAGGGTGCTGGCCTCCATCGGGTCGGATGTCGACATGAAGGCCGAACAAGAGATTGGCAGCTTTTGTGTCCTTCGATCGATATGTGCTTGTCGAGTATGGGCTGGCTTTTGGGGTCGCCTGGGCGTAGTGGGCGGTAGCTAGGGACGACTTTTTTGATATTGTGTGTTTGTCGCAGTCCTGGTGGAGGGACGATGATCCCGGAAGCTCCAATATTTTTTGGGGTTCACTGCCCCACCTTTTTCCCCAAGCTCCTGGCACAGGTGAGCCTGGACGCTAAAATTGTTAGTGAGTCCGCCAAGACAACCAGGCAGTCTCCCCAATGAAGCGCTCTGAGATGCCTGTAGCAGCCAGAATTGTTAAGAAAGGACACGTGGCCAACAGGTGGAGCGGGGAGGTCATGGCGCCCCCAATCCCCTTCTGACCACCGCCCGTCAACGGTGGACTTAAGAATGCGACGAATATCACAACGATTGGTGGAGTGGCCGAGTTGGTTAAGGCGCTGTGTTTAGGAAGCCTCGAGTGCCCTGTGAGGGGTGATTAGAGGAAACTTCTACATCCGCAGTGGGAAACCGCGCGAGTTCGAATCTCGTCTCCATCAAAAATGCAATTATTTTGCGTCTTCTTTTTTGAAGTTTTGGGTCGATTCTCAAGTCCCATGGGTGCCCCTCCTTCCCCCGCTCCCTTGCCCATTTTCCCCTCCCAATGTTGACTATCCATCGCTGTTTGGGGTCTGCTCATAAAATGCGTTGGGATACAAGTCCTTGATGTTCTCCTCGGCATCATCCATAAATCAGGCCGATTCAGGACATCAAGTTTTACACAGGTACCTAGGTTGGTAGGTATTGACACTGACGGGGCTCATCTCAAGACCACTGACTGAGGCCCTCGCGTTCCGATAGTTGTCGAACTCCCATGCGAACTTCACATTCCCACTTCTACACACCATGTCAATTTCCTGGCTGCATCTGTCAAGTACATGTAGTCAATCTCGAAGATTATCGACATCGAGCATACATGTATTGATGCAGACAGCCGAGGCAGACAATAAATAAGGTAGCTGGCCGTGCTTGGAAGCCATCGCCAACCAAGGCCACAATGATATTGTTGCCTTCGTGAAGTCGATGAAAGGGAGAACCCTTCTCAAGAAACCAGGACCTGGTGCCAAGTGCATGCCCGGGAAGGCGTCTTTCAGGGGTGAAGTCAACATTGAAATACGTAGATGGACGTCATTGACACGTGCCATATCTCCTCACATCCAGAGAAGGAAGCACATGGCCCCTTCTCTGAGAAGCTGGCTGTTGGCTACCTAGGTAGGCACTGAAAAGAAAACAATCGTCACAATCATTTTAATTTTCAGAGACACAGCGGCACACAGAGGTCTGGTTGAGAACTTGTGATGGGTGGGAAGACATCCGCTTCTTTCAACCACGTGATGCTGCTGACCTGTCAGTTAGTGGTCCGTGCCCGTGCAGAATGGCGCTAAGAGCTGGGACCTTGTTGAGCCTTCAACGCCCTGGAGCTGCTGCCAGTTCTTCACCCTCAAGATCCAAAACCAAACTGGAAACTGAAGCAATTGTGACCGGTCGCAACGTCCTGCAAGGGGTTGAGACCGGAACCCTTCCGGCTTGTCTTGACGCATCAGCACCCTCCATCGCACCCTCTCTTTTTATTCGCATTTTATTATTCGCCCAAAAAGCACGTTGCGATGATTCAGCCGAGGTGGCCGCCGCGGCGATCCGCAGCGATCCGCTGTGGGCAGTGGGAGCTCCGCGGGGGAGGGGTGCCACGCCGCCCAGACGCCCCGGCGGGCTGCTTGCTGCCGAGACAGCTGATTGGCCGTACAAGCGAAAAATCCGATCTCTACGATGTAATCGATTGACACCCACCAACTGATTGTGCTCGACGCCGGACGACTCAACCTCGACATCGACACGCCCACCGCAACGGACGACTCCCTCAAATCCCCTCCGGTCGCCGATGCCGGTGCTCGAACCCCCGAAATCCCCAGAATCGACGCCAAGTCTCCAACGCGGCCGCTGTCATCTCATCCTCTTGTTGTCGTCGCTTGTCCTGGCTTGAGACTGGCACTTTGCGAAACCGCGGAAGCCGAGCCGCGACAAAACGAGGCTCCGGCGCATCTTCCCCTAGCGAACCCCCCCCTCGAGTCACCGCGACGACAACGACTATTGACTGCGGGACCCGCTCAAGAGACAATTGCTAGATTGTCGGAAACACCTAACAATCCCACTGGCCGCGCCCTTTGTGGGACGGGAGCACCTTCTCGTCGAACGCGTCAGGCAGGCAGAGCACGGCCGCCTTCGAGAGCCCGAGAAAACAACATAGTCCAAGACACCTGGGGGCCTGGTTGAGGCGCTCTATCTGGCTTTGAGTTGCACGTAGCCCAGTCAAGGCTACCTATATATCTACCCGCCTGGTTTCCCGTCGCCAGCCCTGGAATCGACCCTCCCCCCCCCAGCGCAACATCCAGAACTCACCGGCGCAACGACTCGCCCGTCTCCTCCGTCCCCGGTATCACAAGAGATACACGCTAAGACGGCATTTCTACCGGTACTTCCGACGCCAGGTATCGAAACCATATCCCCGGCCCATATCGCCCGCCCCCCCGTCGAACTTCACGAATCGCGCCGAGACAAAATCACTGCTCGCGATCGCGATTCTTCGTGGTCGCCCCAGATTTGATTTCCTCGCCCCACGACGCCGTGACGTACTGGCACTTCCCCGCTCCCGTCATGTCATCGAATTCCAGAAAACGACCCGCCCCGGGCGCAGCCCCCATGGTGCCAATGCCTCCCCCGCAGGTGCCCTTCTCTTCGACTCAGCAGGACGGGCTGTATGGGTGGAATGGTAGCGTTGAGGGTAACGGGTTTGTGGGGGCCAGTCAGCCCAACGGTTTTGCCATGATGTCCCCGCCAGGGCAATATGGGCAGCCCGTCCAGCCCGTCACGCCCGCTTCCAACGCGTTGGCCAGGCGCCAAAACAACAGGGCTCTTGTGCATCCCTCAATGCGCTCACAGTTTGGCCCCGGCGCTGACACTTGGAGCGGCCTTTCCGACGATGCTACGGCGTTTCTCCCCCAACCACAGGCAGGCGGCTTGGACGAGACTGATAGCATCGAGCGCCTCGAGGAGAGGGCGGCGCGCGCGAAGCGCGAAGCCCAAGCAAAGCGAAAGCAGATCCCGCCCTTTGTGCAAAAGTTGAGCAGGTACGTCGTTCCCTTGCTTTGCCCAGTGGCTGTCATGCTAATTCTCTCAGCTTTCTTGATGAGGACCGGAATACCGATCTAATCCGTTGGTCCGAGAAAGGCGACTCCTTCATTGTGCTGGACGAGGACGAATTCGCCAAATCCTTGATCCCGGAGCTCTTCAAGCACAACAACTACGCGTCATTCGTCCGACAGCTGAACATGTATGGGTTCCACAAACGTGTCGGCCTCTCGGACAACTCGATGAAGGCTAGCGAGCGGAAAAACAAGAGCCCTAGCGAGTATCACAACCCCTACTTTCGTCGAGGACATCCCAACCTTCTCTGGCTTATCAACAAGCCCAAGAGCAGCAGTGGCAAGAAGAAGCAGGGTGGGAAGAAGGACGAGGGCGACGTGGACAGCGACGACGACAATGCCGTTGACGAGGTCTTCGCACCCCCCGTCGCAGCGGCCCCGGTTGGCAGGGCAGCCACAACCCCCAGCGACCTTGGCCCGCTGCAGAAGAAGGACCTTGTGCAGGTCAAGTCGCAGCTGGATCGATTGCAACAACAGCAAACGACCATTTCCAACGTGCTCGGAAAGCTGCGGGCGGAGCACGCCACCCTGTACAAGCAAGCTGTCATGTTCCAAAACATGCACGAGCGCCACGAGAACTCGATCAACGCCATCCTGAATTTCCTGGCCAATGTTTTCAGGAAATCGCTGGAGGAACAGGGTGGCGCCCACACAATCCAAGATCTCTTCTCGAGCATCTTGCCAAATGCCCAGGCGCACGGCCAGCCACAAATGCCACAAGGGAACATAATAGACCTTGATGACTATGTCAACAGACCGGCGCAAAGCACCCCCGCAATCAGCACGCCTAAGAGGCCGCAGCGACTGCTTCCGCCCATCCCCCATGCCCAAGCCGGCAAAGCCACCACGGTTTCTCCTTCAGCGACCCCTTCCCCCGCGCCATTGACGACTGGGTACCAGGGACACCCGATGGGATCCGTCACGGAGGTTTTTGACGCTTCGCCAGCCGACACAGCGTCCCCGGCCTTTATCAAGGATGAGCTGCGCACCAATCCTCAGGAGGGAATGATGAAGATCATCCACGATACCAACGCCGTCAACACATCGGGCATCGACCTACCAAACATCGCGGCCCATGCATCAATACGACGAATGGACGACGACCAGCGGAGCAAGATGCTCAGCATGATGGCAGGCCAGTCCTCGGCCCCGCCACCGGCGACCGGAATGCCTCAAGCAACCACAGGCCCCTCTGCGCCCGCACCCCCCACCCCGGATATTCCCATGTCAACACCGGCCGGCCTCTCCCTCTCGCCCGTACTAGGTTCGATCCCCCCACCGCCTCTCCGCAACTTTGAGGCAACGCAATCCGGACTGGAGGTGCTACAGCAACTCCAAAACAGCCAGGCGAATGAAATCAGCCAGCTCTCGAACATACTCGGTCCGCTCAGCCCCTCGGGCCGGATACCCGGCCTGGACTCAGAGGCGAACCCCAACGTGGGCTACTTTGGGGACATTGACTATGACCAGTACTTGAACGTCAATGCCTACAATGACCCCGGCTTTGACGCTTCTTTTGGCGGTGTGGGAACGGCGGTCAACACGGATGGCAACGACTTTAACTTTTCACTTGACGGGAACGTCGGCATGGCAGGTGCGGATGACCTGTCGGGGTACATTCCGGTGTCAAACGCTGCCCAGGGTCCGGTGACGGGCTTCGACATGGCGAGCGTCGGCGGTGCCTTGTTCGAGACTGCTTCGGCCGGAACCCCTAGTGAGGCCGGCACAGAGGAGATACCGCGCAACGATCTGGAAGTCCCTGACCGCGATCCTAAGCGGCGACGAAAGGGTTGAGCTCCGATTGCTGTGTTTCCTTTTTTCTTTGTGGGACGAATTCGACGGGGTGCTGGGGTGGATGGCTGGATGGGACGGCCGGATGGTATTTTGCTGGGTTCACTTTCGCGTTTTGGGCTGGATGGTTTCGCTATGGGAGGGCTGGTCCAGGCGCAGGAGTGTTGGGCTATTTGGGGGCTCGGGGGTTAGGCGCTTAATTGAGGGTTTCCGAGCATGGTTGCTGGGCTGATACACTTTAGCGACCCTCCTTGACTTTTTTTTGTTAGAGTAAAGCGGGGAAAAAAAGATGTAGGCTTTATGATGACCTAATGATGATGACTTCCATGGTTCGTGGTGAAGAGGAAATTGTCGGCGGCGAGGAGATACAGGGAGTGCCGGGACTTGATGTGCTGCATGGCTCGCTAACTTGATGTAACAAGGCCCCTGGGTATCGGAGAATCATTTGTTTACTTTCGAGATTGTCTGAAAGGGGCGTGGGGGGCATCGAATTCGACTTGGTTTCGTTT